TATTGGAAAATATAATGGTGGATGAGGTGCAATTGATTAGTTGACTTGAATGTACTACGTCGTATTTCCTTACCCTTTTAAGAACCAGAAGTTCGGTTACTGTTTCAATTCTACAGTGCATTTACGGTTCTGCCCTTGCACACCTTTTTCCCCCTTTTTTTTCTTTCCTTTATTTCCTACGTGGTATTTGTTGTTTGCTTTGTGCTGGATTTGGGAATTGCTGGTTGATGGTTTTCCTTGTTTTACTCTGGGCCCAGTTGGTTGGATTGCAATTTGCTCTGTAATCTATTTTTTGGTTTTGCCTTTTTTTTGGGTCCTTTTTGGAAAACAAACTATCTATGGTTTTTACGAAAAGTGTTGTTAGGAAGGTTTTTCCTCTTTTTTAAAAGTGTTTTTATCCAAGAATATCTTAAGTTAGCTTTTTTGCTTTCTGTTTTCCCTTTTTTCCTGTTATAATTATATGTTTATTAGTTACCTTAGTGATGTTGCCTCTTTTTTGTGTTTTTAAAAAAGGGAAAACAAAAGGATTATTGTGATTGTTAATTAGCTTAGTGCTGTTGTATTAGTGTCTTGTTGATGGGTTTGTTAGAAGAGTGATTACACTAATGTAGTCAATGAGGTCCTTTCAGAAAAGAAAAAAAAAATATGGTCAATGAGGTTGTGTGCTTGTGTGGGTGTGGTCCTCCATATTTTAAGGCTTGTTAGAGTTTTGCCTTTTTTGACTGGCTATAGGTCTTGACTTTGTGTCTCCTTTTGCTTACTAGCAAAGTATTTATTTATTATTACCTTATTAGTGTGTGCTTGTGTTAGATGTGTATATAAAGAACTTACATTCTCTGCAGTCTGTCTGTCGTTTGCATTCTTACATCTAAATTTATTTTTCTTGTTTGTGTTAGAAAGCCTTCGACTGCCTGATAGATTTTGGACAAAAGAAACTCGGGTAACTTGGCTTTCATTAGCTCAACATTGTTGTATAGCTATTTAAAAAATTAATTGCATTGTTTGGTTGATGCAAAAACTGCCAGAAATTGAACGGACCCGGACTGTGATTAGCCATGACAAATGACAATTCCATAGATTACTGGAATGTGACAAGGACAAATCAACAATTTGATTTTAATTTTCGCGTTGGTGCTGGTTCTCCTGTGCCGTGTGTTCTATTTATGGAGTGTGATTTATGTGCTAAATTATGTTGTGCTTTTGAATCAGTAATTTGATTACAGTTTGTAGATTGATTGGTGTTTTTTCTATGTTGTGTGTTCTGTCTATGGAGTGTAATTCATGTGCTGAATTATTCTTTGCTTTTTTCATTTAGTTACAAGCTAGGTATTTTTGGTTTGCTTGATTTTTTCTATGTTGTGTCTTCTGTCTATGGAGTTGTTCAGTGAGTTACAAGTTAAGTGGTTTTTGTTCAAAAAATTACATTGTTATAGCTTGATTACTATTCAGTAAGTTGTTTGTTACATTTAGCTTATAGTTGTCGTGGAATATGGCCGTTGCTTTTGGGTTTTAGAATGCTGCTTTCATGTCATGTATTGTTAGCAGAAGAGTGTATTTTATTAGATTGTGTTTTTTAAAGGGGGGAGGGGAAGGGAGGTTGTTCTGTTTGGATTGCAGGGTAGTGGTGAATTGTTATTTACAGACATTTTAGTCTCTTTTGTGGAGTTTTGGGTGTTGAGTTTTTAAAGTGAGCTGATGAGTGATCTTAGGTAGTCATGGTTTTGTGGAGGAAAAATGATTATGGCTGTTATATTTTTTTTTCCCTTTAGAACCATTGATTTGTTGGAAGAGCATGTGTTCATTTATGTGGTTTCTTAGCTGACTCTGATCATGAAAGGTGTTCCTTGTGTTTGTTTGTTGTTACTATTTTATGATTATTCTTCCCTAGCTGTTTATAAGGACCTACTATGTTGTTGGGGATTTTTTTGATGCTATGGCCTTTTTGGTTCCAGCATGAGGGTTGTAGTGTAGGTCTAGGGTTGCCTGCACCACAGTAGTCTGTAATAAGAATCACAACTTTATCGATGGACTGATTGAATTATAATTGTTTACAGGTCATGGACTTACCACCCACGCAAGTGATAATGCCTTTCCGACCTCTCCTAAAGCAGATTACCAGTTACTTGAGTTTCCCTGATCCAGATTACCAGTTTGTAGATGAACCAGGTAGCATTGCTTGTGTGGTGATAAAGACAGACTGTGGTCCTATCGCTTCTGTTTATATAGGTGGCTATACTGAGAGCGTAGAAGAGTCCTGTGAGGTGGCTGCTAGAAAGGCTGTCTATGATCTAATGAAGAAATATTAAATAGTCGTCGAGGATGTGACCTATTTAAGGAAGCAGATGTATGACCGTTGCGGTCAGTTGTTTTGGTTTAAAAAAGAGGAGCTGGAGCGCATTGAAAGGGAGGAACCTAAGATTTGTATGCATGAGGAAGTTAGTTATGAGCTTGAAAACAACCATAAGAAGATTGTAGTGGACTTTGTTGTTATTTTAAGGGCTATCTTTAGAGCTGTCGTTATAAGATGCACTCCAATTGAGACCATTGAACATTCTCCTGATCAGTTTACTTCATGGTTTACTATCATGCCTCACAAAGAAGGAGTAGGTTTCCGTTGTCTGTTTAGTGATTACTGTCCAACTGCAGCTGCAGCAAAGCAGAGCTTAGCTAGGAAGGCTGTGGACTACCTTTCTGATGTCTTTAACCTTGTAATAGTTGATGCTAATTACAAGGTCACAACAGCTAGATTTGATGCCATTTTATGTACTTTAGTGAGGGAGAGCTATGTTGGTGTTAAGGAACGTGTTTTAGGCATTAAAGACAGCTAGAGCCTTCCACAGTTCTCATTGAGCAGGACTGCCTTACTCCTCTTGGAAAAGAGTTTCAGGTTCCCGTGTCTATTCCACCTCTCTTGCCTCCTAAAAAACGACTGCTGCGACACATCTATGCAAATACAGCTCCTGTTCTTGATTCTGATTGTGAGATGATCTCGATGTTCCCATTACCAGAAGATTTTGATTGTTGTCTTAAGCGTAGAAAGTTTGCTAGAGGTTAGGAACTTTAAGTGTCTGTGTTGGAACCAGCACTTTTGCAGGTGTGTTGCTTGGTTCTTTTTGCTTATTTATTAGGCTGGGTCGTTGGTGTACTATGTTAGGACTATTTCACATGCTTGTGTATGGTGTTAGGGCTAATGGCTATGTTATATACCATTATGTAGAGCTTCTTTTGTTAGGAACTTTGTTGAAGCTACATAGGGTTTCTTTTGTTAAAGGCTTTCCTGAAGCCAGACTTATGTATTATCTTTGCTGGAACAATGAAATGGATTTTCCAGAATCCTTTATTATATCTATATATAAATCCTGTTTTGGTGCATTTTGTACTGTATGAAATACACAGTTCTTCTATATTGCTATTCTTTGATTATTTATTTCTATTCTTTGCTTATTTAATCATTAGACTTTTTATATGATATCAGTTAACTATTTGCTCAGTGCATGTTATATTGTAGAGTCTGGACAGATGTATTGCAGCTAATCAGCTGTTGAAATCACAAGTAAATGCTTGTGCAAACACAGCATTAGCTGTGGCTTGGTGGTTGATACAAAGCTATCCAGATATGAGTATGTTCTGGACCATGTTGTCTATGCTTCATAACTAATTAAAATTGTTAGCCTAATGCTCCCAAGCATTTTTTTTACTGAACATGTTATAGACCGTCTATTACGAGAACCATCATCTTTAAATGTATATCGTAGTAAACGCCTTAACAGTCTAGAATCTGGATATCAAGATGACCTACAGAGGTATGATATAGAAAAGTAATTGTTGATAAAAGCATGTGTACATGGAGATACTTCTTTTAAATTAAATTGCAGAATAGTTAGGATTACTAGCAGTTGCTTTTCATCTTTGTAGGAGAAAATATACCCAGTGATAGAGAAATGTTTATTCCTTTTTCTTTTTTAGGGCACAGGCTGGACCTTCCATAAAACGTGCAAAGATACCAAGGACCTTCCATAAAGCTACAAGTAATTGATTTTATATTTCCCTAGAGCATTTCATTCTGGTTTTACATGTTGATTGCTATATACATACATGAGTGGTTTATGAATCTTTTATTGCGATCAGAGGTCTCTGATGCATCAATTGGTAAGAGGTTACCTATAGAGCCATATCAGCTTCCTTGTCCTACTCAGTGTGCTACCTGTAGGGCGCGCAAATTTGCTTTTGAAACGCCTCATTTCTGCTGTTCTGGTGGTGAGGTTAAGATTGCTGCAAATGATTACCCTGCAGAGCTTGTGAGACTCCTCACTTCTGTGGATGAGGACGCAGAGCATTTTAGACAGTACATACGATTGTATAACAATTTGTTTACATTTACATTGTTAGGTGGAAAATATGATGCTAAGACTAAAAAAGGGATCTATGTTTGTAAGCTGCATGGTCAGATATACCATTACATTCCTTACTTACTTCCAGGAAAGGAATGACCTAAGTATATGCAGCTCTATTTCTATGATGGACAACTTGAGGCTCAGAAACGACTAGGCTGTTTTCCAAAACTAAGGGAAGATGTGTTGGCTATTCTAATGAAAGTTACTGAAGTAAATCCTTATGCTAAGTTCTTTCGTTCACTAAGAGAGATCCAAATTAATGAGTGTACGCAGATTTTGATAAACAAAACAACTGTGCCAGATCAGCGTGTTTACAATGCCCCTTCCACCGATGAAGTTGTTGTCATATGGCCAGAAAATACATCTTCCAGCGAGGCAGAAAGCCCTCATATTTTGGTTACAGCAAGAAGGGATAGATTCCAGGAAAATTCAGCTGGAAATGAATCAGCTCAAGATCATTCATCTCATAGTGAGTCATCTAAAGGTGATTTATCTGAAAAAAAGTCATGTCATAGGATAATGCACTATTATGGTTGTTACGATCCTCTGCAGTATCCGCTTCTTTTTCCATTTGGTGAATGTTGATGGACTCAGGGCTTAAAAAAAATGTCGCATGGTGGGATTCAGCAGCTGCATTCACAACCAGATCTTGTTGCTTCATGCACTGTTCATACAGTAGAAGACTTGCTCGAGGAGGAAGCAAGACGTATGTATATCCTGGTACCTCCATCGTTTAAGCAAGTCAAATGGATTAAAAATCCTTAAGAAAAAGGAAAAAATACCATAGACACAAAGCACTTTTACAAATATGTGTGTAAATCCCGTTGCAGTCATTATTTTCCATTGCAGCTATGCTTTTTAACAGGGAAAAATAAGGTTTCTTTGTAGGTGCAAATGGGGGTTCTTCAAAGACAGACAGAAACATTTCAGCAAGGGAATACTATGCATACAAGCTTCAATGCAGGCCCAATAATCTGCTGCTAAGAGGAGGTAGATGCTTTCAGCAGTATATAGTGGATATGTATGTCAAAGTGGAGAATACAAGGTTGGATTTCTTTCATAAAAATCAGCAAGCTATAAGAGCAGATCTCTATCAAGGAATCCTAGCACTATTGATTGTGGGGAGAAGTGTGCAGCAAATGTTGGTCGTAAAGTGATCTTACCTCCAACATTTATTGGTGGTCCTCGCGATCTTACGAAGAGATACTTAAATGCAATGGCATTGGTTCAGCGGTTTGGTAAGCCGGATCTATTTATTACAATGACTTGTAATGCTAATTGGTCTGAAATTAAAAAGGAGCTTGCTGTTGGGGAAAAGGCACAGGACATATCAGATATAGTTGCAAGGATCTTTAGAGCACAAGTTTTGGCTTTAAAGCATCTTATAAAAAAAAAAGAAGGTGTTTGGGGAGGTTGCAGCAATGATTTATGTGATTGAATTCCAGAAGAGAGGTTTACCTCATGCTCATTTTTTGGTCATTTTAAAGCAAGAGTACAAAATCAAGTGGCCCTTTGATTTTGATAAATTTGTATGTGCTAAGATACCATCTGTTGACAATAGTTATCTTAGAAAAGTGATACTCAAACACATGATGCATGGTCCCTGCGGTCACTTGGATCCAGAGTGTCCTTGTATGAAGCACAGGGAAAGTCCTGGTCGTTGTAAATATGGTTATCCAAAGCAGTTATGTGATGAAACTAAAAATAGCAGTGATGGATATCCATTGTACCGAAGAAGAGGCACAGGAGAAACTGTAACAGTTCGAAGGACAATCATGGATAATAAATGGGTTATCCCATATAATCCATATCTTTCTTCGTACTCTGACTGTCATCTAAATGTCGAAGTTTGCTCTACTATAGAGGCGGTTACGTATTTGTATAAATATGTTTATGAGGGTCATGACAGAGTGTCTTTTAATATTGTTCGGTCTGAAGAAAATGTTCCTGTCCAAAATGAAATACAGCAGTATCAGTCAGATCGATGGGTTTCACCCTGTGAAGCTGCTTGGCGCCTTTTTGGGTTTGATATGTATGAAATGCATCCACCAGTTCTGCCTCTTCCTGTGCATTTTCCTTATTCACAGTTGGTTCAACTTAGACCCAATGAACGACTTAGATCAGTGGTTTCTGATGATAAATGTTCTAGAACTTGTCTGACAGAGTTCTTTCGAATGAATGTCAAGCTGTCTCCTGGAACAAGACTGAAGTACAATGAGTTTTCAAAACACTATCGCTGGGATGCATCTGAAAAGCGTTGGTATAAAAGGCAAAATAAGAAGATAGTCATTGGTAGATTGGATTTTGTTGGACCTTCAGAAGGAGAATGATATTATCTCAGATTATTGCTGCATAATGTTAAAAGTCCTAAGTCATTCGAAGATCTTCGTACAGTTGATGGTCATGTATGTGACACCTTTCAACAGGCTGGACTTAAGCTTAACTTGTTAGAAGAAGACGATTCAGTAGATCTATGTCTCAGAGAAGGTTGTGTTGTTCAGATGCCGCTTGCAATCCGCAAGTTATTTGCTACTGTGCTGATATTTTGTCATCCTAGCAATCCCCTGACTCTCTAGATGAAATATTATAATTCCCTGTATGAGGATTTTAGGCATAGATATGCTTCTGATCCGTATAAAGTGAGGCGTCTTACTGTTAAATAAGTTGAGTGGTTTTTAGAGTCGATGGGTAGTTCTCTTGCTGTTTATGGATTAGACAATTTAGTTGATCCTGAAGATGATGAGATACATGTAACAAAGGATATAGAGGATGCATTGAATGCTCCAATTCCAGAACAGTGTCTGTAGTGCAAGAGTCAGTTAAATCAAGCTCAGCGAGAGGCATTTGATGTTATAATGGATCATGTTGCAAAGAAAATGCCAGGAGCTTTTTTTATTGATGGTCCTGGTGGAACAGGAAAAACCTTTTTTTATAATGCTTTGTATTAAGAGATAAGACTGATGCATAAGATTGTATTGCCAATAGCAACATCTGGTATAGCTGCAGCTAATATTCCCTCTGGATGGACTGCACACTCACGCTTTAAGATTCCACTGGATCCGCTTGAGTCACGTGCCTGTAGTGTGCCCAAACAAGGTAGTTTGGCTGCATTGCTAAGAGAAACGATGCTTATCATTTGGGATGAAGCTTCAATGGCAAAAAAAGAAAACGTTGAATCACTTGATATGTTGCTGAGGGATATATGTGATCCTCAGTTATTGTTTGGAGGCAAAATCATTGTATTTGGAGGAGATTTTAGACAGGTTCTTCCTGTTGTCCCCAAAAGAACACAACGCGAGGCAGTTGCTGCTAGCTTGGTTAGTTCTACTCTATGGCCACTGTAAACTAAATTCAGATTAACAGAAAATATTCGAGCTAGACATGATCCAACATATGCAGCTTTATTGTTGGCACTGGGAAATGGGGAGCTGCAGGATAGTGAAGATGCATTGGTTCAGCTACCTGCAGAAATTATTAAGCCTTATGATGCTGCCACACCTCAGGATATGCACCTGACATCAGTTGCTTTTCCAGAAATGGATATGCCTCCATTTAGTGCAGATATATTTACCACTAGAGCTATACTAACACCTGTCAATGATGATGTTGATGCTATAAATGCCATCTTGATAAATAAGTTTCCAGGTGAAGAAGTAGCCTACAAGAGTTATGATTCGATGATCGACGATAATTTTTCCATCTATCCCACTGAATTCTTGAATAAGCTATCTTCTGGTGGCATGAGCCCTCATGAGCTTATATTAAAAGCCAATAGTCCAGTTATCTTATTACGCAACATCTTGCCATCATCCGGTCTTTGCAATGGAACACGTCTGATATGCAAGAAATTCTTTCCAAACCTCATTGAATGTGTTATTGTTGTTGGTAATCATAAAGGAGAGCATGTACTAATACCAAGAATTAATCTAAGACCATCAGAATCCTCGGCTTACCCTTTTCAGTTTCAGAGAAAACAGTTCCCCTTAAAGCTTAGCTTTGCAATGACCATCAACAAAGCTTAGGGACAAACATTGAACAAAGTTGTTGTTTATTTACCGCGATCATGCTGTTCACATGGACAGCTATATGTGGCTCTTTCTCGAGCTCGACAGGCATCCAATGTTAGTGTTATAACTAATGCTAGCGATGATAAGTCAGCTTTAGGTCATGTGAGGAATGTAGTAGCCTATGATATTCTCCATCTAGCTGGCATCATTTAGCTTCATCAGTGAGTAATACTTTTCCATTTCTTCTCATTAAAATTTATTTTGCATTTTTTTACCATTTTTAAAAATTTCTTACAGGGTATTCTGGCTTATTTGCTTTCAGTTTCTGGCTACAGACTGCACTATGTGTAGCATATGTTCCTTTTGAGGTATCTCATCATTCAACAACCAAATTAATGGCCTTTGAAAGTATGATATGCTTTTTAATGATATCATGTACTTTATGATCTATTGTTCTGATTTGAAACTACATTTTGCAAATTAGCAAGTGCCTGATGTACAAATATTTTTCTGTTAATTCTGCAGTGTTTAGGGGAGATTTTGGTCATCATATGCTTGCAAGAGAACAACTATTCTACTAATTTTCCTAGGCATTTATACATAGTTCAGTGGATAAACCTACATCTTCTAATCAGTTGCTTATTTGTAATTGTAATGATCAAATATTATCTTGTAATGCTACTTACTTAGTTAGGTGCTTTTGTTTGTAATTTACTGCAACCCAGCCTATGTTATTAGTTTTCCTATCTAGCTATAAGCCTAAGGGTAATTTTATGTGTATTGTATCCTCGTAGCCCTACGCACATGAATGGTTAAATATGAGATGCTTGCTCTTTATGTATAAATAATCTCTAACATAATTTGAATTCACAATATCCTTACAGGAGGCATACAGCAAGACATAATTTGAAGAAAAAAAGGCTCAAACATCGGTGCATATCGTAGAACAATTATACAGGAAACATTAGTTTCTTTTCAAGAAATGGATATGCCTCCATTTTACTATAGAACTAAAGTAGAAGAAATTAGTACATGATATCATTAAAAAATGGTAAGGTTCTAGGAACTAAATTAGTACTCAAAAAGAAATTATACAATACCTTTTAAATAAGATGACACAAAACACTATATTAAATGCACGGGTTTATAATTGCCTAGGAAATATTAAGTTCTATAGTATATGTCAAATAGAGGTTTTAGAATTGCAAAGAAAAGTTATAGTCAATAAAAACAAGTACAGTCAAATCCAGAAATAATGCACTTCAACTTTAGATGGTTCAAGTTATATTTTTGGTTTCTTATTAGAGTTAGTTTTACAATATATGACTAAAAAAATTATATATCTATATCATGTAGGTGCTGTAATTTCAAACTAAAGATATTAATATAGATATGGAATTCCATATTTAAATATTAACAAGTACATCCTATATCTATTGAGTATAGAAGGAAGTATTTTAGGTAGTAAACCTTGCTGATTTTATGGGAAAAAATACAGCAGACCACTATTGAAGTGAACAGTGTCTTTGAATTCTTCCCTTTTTTCTAAAATTCTTTTTACTTAAAAAAAAACAAGTTGTACTATAAAAACACTACTACCGTTAGGTCTTCATATGACTCACAACATTAAGTATTCTGTAGTAAACCACAGGAAGGAGACCAGAAAAGAAAATTCCAAGCAGAAGCTACAATCTACACTTTCAGCATTTACACCCCTGCAGCTTGACAGGTATGATCAATCCGTATACTATTTCACTTCATTTATTTAAGAATTCCAGCTAAAAAAATTCGAATTTATTACTAGCTGAATATCCATACATGCAGGGTTTATGTCATACGTTTAGATTCTTCAAAGAATTTTAGTTGTTGAATATGGAAAAGTCATTATTTGTCTATATGCTGTTGTACATTCACCGTTACATCTGTATAGTTCTTTAGTAATGTTTCCTCTTTTTAAGGCCTATTTAGTAGATCACATCATAAATATTTAAAAGGACGGACACTTAATTAACAAATAGTCATATTAATCAGGTTAGATTAGTGTTGGAACTGCTAGATATTTAAAGAGTGCAAAATTAATCAGCAGCTTTAGTTACATATCTAGATTAGTTGACTCATTTTGTAAAATATAGATGTTACATTACGACTCAAATCACTAGAAACGGTTTGATTTTTGTCTTTGAATGGCTATGTATCATTGCTTATCATGTTTGCCCTTGTTATCAGTAAGATACTATAAAAGAGAGCAGTATTTATAGCAGCTGCACTTAGATCTCATGATTAAAATACATGCATAATTACTTAATTGTGTGATTGTTGTTTTAAAAAGAAGATAGAAGCAACTGGTGGCTGATATTTCTGTTTATATGTAAATTTATCCATTAGTTATTTAGAGAAAATAACCGTCATACATGTATGTATACAACCAAGACTCATTTAGCTTTCTTATTATATTGTATGTAGAATCTTGTAATGGCACCTCAGAGAAAGTTTCTTGATGAGCTCAATACATCAAGTAAGTCATACAAGGTCAAAGTTAACATTGCAGAAAAGGGTCGCAAGCAGGAATCTGAGAAAAAAATAATGTACCAGTACATTATTTTACAAGATGATAAGGTATAGTTCATGCATACATTTACAAACATCCATTAATTCTAAAACACAACGCGGTACATAATTATGTTATAACATATGTTTTTTCTCCCTTTTCCAGAAAAATAGGATGAAAATGACACTGTTTGGTGATCAGATTGATGCATATAAGGATGTCATCTTATTCAGAGGCAACTATGATATTGCTAATGCCTTGATAAGACTATTAGATCTCCAGTATAGAGCTAAGGAAACAGATCTTCCATTTAAGATGACAATAGGCAGCAGGACTCTCATCAAATCTTTGGATCCTGAAGGACAGCAAGTATTTCCTAGATATCAGTCTCTTGCTTCTATTCCAAGAATTTCCCTTAATGACACTCGACATGGTAACAAAATAGATCATCTTCATATTTGAAGCTTGTGATTATATATTACTACCTCATCCCATTAAATAGCTTAACACCAATATCTTTTCCATTTTAGATGTTCTTGTCATTGTGTTATATGTTGCAAAAGAACCAAGGAAAATCGTGACAACTCTGAACAAAGAATCTTTTGTGCGCGACCTGATAGTGATAGACCATAGGTGACTTTACTTCTGCTATCAGCTTAGATTTTATCATAACAAGACAATACTTGTGATAATTTTACTCTAACATTTATGCTTTTGCTATACTTTCAGCACTGATCAATCTATAAAGGTATGCACATGGAATGATCTGTCAAGAAGCCACTGTGAAACTCTTGTTTCTGACAGTGACAACTTCAAGGTCATTGGTATTACAGCTCTGCAGCTAATAAGATACCCTAGTCAATATATGCCTAATTTGATTTGTCTTGATGTCTATCAATCAACTAATAAACATCTCCTAATATCTTTAACATACAGGTTTCCAACTTGAATCAACCATGTCTACTGTGATAATCGAAGACCCTGAAGGTGAAAAAGCAGATGCATTAGCTGAATGGTATGC